GTGGCTGGCTCTGGGGAGGGGTCTGTGGCCGGCTCTGGGGCGATGGGAGGGGTCTGCGGCTGGCTCTGGGGAGGGGTCTGTGGCTGGCTCTGGGGCGATGGGGAGGGGTCTGTGGCTGGCTCTGGGGAGGGGTCTGTGGCCGGCTCTGGGGCGATGGGGAGGGGTCTGTGGTTGGCTCTGGGGAGGGGTCTGTGACTGGCTCTGGGGCGATGGGGAGGGGTCTGTGGCTGGCTCTGGCTCTGGGGCGATGGGGAGGAGTCTGCGGCTGGCTCTGGGTGATGGGCAGGGGTCTGTGGCTGGCTCTGGGGAGGGGTCTGTGGCTGGCTCTGGGCGATGGGGAGGAGTCTGCTGCTGTTTCTGGGGAGGGGTCTATGGCTGGCTCTGGGGAGGGGTCTGTGGCTGGCTCTGGGTGATGGGGAGGGGTCTGCGGCTGGCTCTGGGCGATGGGGAGGAGTCTGCGGCTGGCTCTGGGGAGGGGTCTGTGGCTGGCTCTGGGCGATGGGGAGGGGTCTGCGGCTGACTCTGGGGAGGGGTCTGCGGCTGGCTCTGGCACAGCAGGTTGAAGGCAGGGAGGCCAGCGTGGCTCGGGCTCTGGGTAGGAAGGGGGACAGATATGATGCACACCCAGATCATGCCCCCCCGTCTCTCCTTGGGGTGGGGCCTGCTCATTGAGTCCTTTCCTCCCCACCAAAGTGGAGCTTGACCTGAGGTCCCCGTGGGCTGTTTAATCCCCTGTTTCTGTTAGCTGGGGGTTCTGGCCATCCCTTCCCCTTTCTCCCTCGCGTGTGGGGCTGGCTGTGTCCCCGGGCCCCACTGCAGGGGTTGTGTGCTGGCCCTGGCTTTCCCGGCCCCTCTCCAGGCGTCTGCTGCGGGATGAACATAGACCCAGCCCCCAGCCGCCCTGGCACCATCACTTTCCACAGGTTCATAGATGCCAAGGCCAGCAGGGACCTTTGTGCTTGCGAGAGGGGAAGTTTTGCCTCTCTGAGGCGCCCGGGGGTGTGTGGAATTGTCCCGGGTCACTGGGTCGGGCTGGAGACGGTTTTGTGTTGTACTGTTGAAGAGGGACCCCTAGATATGGAACCTGGCCCTGGTTGCTGCCAACTCTGACTGGAAGAAGGGTCACATGGCCATCTCGTCTGACCCCTGGTGTAACGCAGGCCCCCCAACTATTCCTAGAGCTGATCTACCCCCCCCCCAAAACGTTTAGAAGCAGTATCAGGGCAGGGTGGGTCCATAGTGGCTGGGTTCCTGTGCTGTGCCTCTCCCCCCGTGCAGGCTGCCAGGCGGGAGGGCAGGGGAAAGTGCTGGGCAGAATCCCTGCGTGTAGGCACACGGCTGTACCCTCACTGCATTCGCGAGTCGGCCCCCAAGACTGGCCTCGGAAAGTTGCAATTCTCCATGTTCACTGGACTCCAGGAGCTGGGGCTTTCGAAGAAGCACCAAGTACTGCAGAAACCACAATAAAATCATGAGAACTGGCGACTCTGGTGGGACGTAGAGGCTGGGGCCCTGTTGTGCCGGGCTCTGTACAAACGTGTCCCAGACAGTCCCTGGCCCAAGGAGCATTGTGGGACTTGTCCCCATTGCCAAAGGGCAGTGCAGAACGTGGTCAGTCAGGGAGCTCAGGTACGATGGGGAGCGGGAGTTTGAACTGCTGGCTGGACAGATCCTGTGCAGCGGCACCAGGATGTGCTTGGGCTTCTGGGGTGTCACGGTGTGGAGGAACCGACTGCCCTGACAGGGGGGCCCAGGGGACACTCGGCCTGCACTGCTTTCGCCCTGAGAGCAAGGAGCGAGCGATGCTGAAAGGCCCCGCATGGCTGGATGGGAAGCTTTAAAGTCTTTGGTTGTAGCAGCCCAGCAGGGTGCACAAGCTCTGTTCTGTCCTTGTCCCAGGAGTGCGCAGAGCCGTCTCTGCTCAGGTGCCCACAGAGCCTTCAGCTGGGAGGGCGGCTTGGATCAGGGCCTCCCTTCACCTCCAGCAGTCCCGTTCCTTCCAGGCCATTCTCCCAGGGCTCCCGCTCTCGGAGCTGTGATGGCTCCCTGGCCATACCTCTGACCCCGAACTCTTGTGGGGTGACTCAGGTCCCTGCAGCTGATTGGCTGCACTGCCCCGGCATGCCAGTTACGGCTCACCCTGGGCTTTCCCAGCCAGGCCAGGCCGGCTCTGCTCGCATGGCACGCTGCTTCTGATGGGGCTGGCTCCCGGTCTCTTCAGCGTGGTGTCAGCAGAGCCCTGGGAGGCTTTGACAGGCCCTGGCTCAGGGGATCCCAGCCTGCCTGAGGGATGGCAGCAGGTACTTTTTCCTTGTTTCTCTGGCCCCGTCACCGCAGCGTGGAGTGCCTCACACTCTTTCAGGCTTCCTGCATTCGCCCTCACTGTAGGCGGGCCAGAGCGATCATCAGGGAACTGGCCCACAGACACGGCGGGACCGGCCCTAGGAGTAACTGGCCAAACAGGAACCTGAACCCAGGTCTTCTGGGTCCTAGAGTAGAGCCCCAACCACTGGACCATCCTTTCTCCAGGTGCCACCTGAGACAGCTCTCCCAGGGCAAACACTGGCAGCTGCCAGAGGCTTGCTAGGCAGAGGACACCTTGACCCCTGGGAAGCAGCATTTCTGATGTCTCTGCAGAGAGGTGGGGACCAGTGGATGCTGATACAGGTCCCCTTCCCTGAGGCTCTGAGGACCACAGTCCCATTTGATTTCTGCATGGTGTTGCATCCCAATGAACTGGTAGGCCCTGGAGATGGTAGAATATGGCTCTACCCTAACCACAACCCCCTTTCCAGGGACCTGTCCCATGAGAAACGACTGCACTGTGAAATCACCACCCGGCTGCTGCTAGCAAGGAGACTGTGGCCAGAGCCATGGAAAGCAAATGAGTTTATTCCTAAAGGAAGAGAGGCTAAGATCCATTCCCCGGCGTCTGTGGTGAGGAGCTGGCCATAAACCTGCAGTGAGAGGTCCTCAAAGCCTCCGCAGGGGCGTGGGAAGGATGAAGTCTTGCCCCGCACTCTGGTTCAGGGCTCCCTACAGAGAGAGGTCACGAGGGCCCAATATTCCAAATGCAGAACAGCCGCCAGGGCTTCGGAAGCTGTCGCCGAGAAGTGCAAACCTTGTCACCGCCGCTCAGCTCCCTGGGGTTGGTCCTTCCGAGGGGAGTGGGGATCTCGGGGACTATCCCCGCAGCAGATCCCCACCTCTCCAGAGTGTCACGGCTCGTGTGACCAGCTGGCTGTGTAACTGCGGAGGTGCCAACGCCCCCCCACTGACGCAGAGGGACTGAGAATGGATATGGGCTAAGTGAGGTGGCTGGAAAGTGGGACCTTTTGCCTGGGCGTGTGTGGCCTCCGGTAGAATGCTGCCCAGCGTGCACAGCCAGTACACTGGGGGAAAACCTGCTACTCGTAGGTGACCTCCCTGATTCTCAGTCGAGGCTGCCTAGTGACCTTTCTGGGTCCCGTGGGGAGAGGATTGCAGTGCCGGTGGCTGAATTCATCCCC